TTCTCCATGGACCCGAGGCTCTGAAGTCCTTGACAGCATGTCTTTGTCTTGTGCCAACAGAACACATTCACCTAGACTTCACTCAGACTTTCTCCACTTCTTACAAGATACCTACTTCCCTTCACTAAGTTTGGCCTCTGACATCTTCTGGGTCAGGAAAAGACTTCAAAAGTGAGGAGCTGGCTTGTTAGACAATGGTACCCAGAGCCTGGGAGCAGCCACAAAGCCTAGCTAAAAGTTCAAGACTCCCTATGGCTAACCATGCTGTGAAGAAGCCAGCTGAAGTAACCCATGTGGACATGGAGTTTTAGTCAGTGTAACACCACACGCATTGTCAAAGGCTTCCCTGAAAGCTTTCGCCCAGGCAAGCTTGAACTAGCTGCTGTGTAGGTTTGCATAAGTCAGCACAAACTAGGTCACACACTCAAATGCTCAAAGGAATCAAGTGGCCACCACAAAAAGTGAGAAAGCATATGCCCCCTCCTGGAGAGGGCACTTGAGACTCAGCCCCAACTAGTAACAGGAAAATGGGAACGAGGTCCTAGTGAGGCCAGTGCTGTCCAGTAGACTAGGACTCTAGGTTAAATTTCTATGTTAAATATATTGGTCTTCATTGTGGTTTGAAAGAAACTGGCTCCCAAAGGGAGTGGCACTATTAGGAGGTGTGGCCTTGTTGGAGCAGGTGTGGTCTTGTTGGAGGAAGTGTGACCCTTTGGAGGCAGACTTTGAGGTCTTATATATGATCAAGCCACACCCAGTGCCTCAGATCACTTCCTGTTGCCTCTGGATCGAGATGTAGGACTCTCAGCTACTTCTCCAGCACCATGTCTGCCTGCACACTGCCATGTCCCACCATGATGGTAATGGATTGAACCTCTGAACTGTAAGCCACACAATTAAATGTTTTCCTTGATAAGAGTTGCCATGGTGTCTCTTCACAGCAATAGACATGCTAACTAAGACAATCTTGAAATGTTGAAAAATCAATTCAAAAAATTTAAACACTTCATAAGCCACATAAAACTAATCAGTGGGTATATGCTTTTTGTTCTTGGGAAATTCACACATGACTTCAGGTGTCAAGCATGCCATACCACGCATATGAAATAATATATAGTATAGATTTGAGGTAGATAATTGAATCTACTCTGAGAAAAAAAGATAAAGAAATAATAGAATAAATGGGTAGATCATTTATCTACACTGAAAAGAAAAAGGGAAAGATAAAAATGACAAAAGGTAGACTACTGAATCTATTATGAAAAGAAAAACTGAGTTTATCAAATGTTACTGGACTGGACATTGTTAATATATATAATGGAGTTTTTTATCTGAATCTGTCAAATGTTAATGTACTAGACATCGTTAATGTAATCTTGACTGTGTATATTGTATATACTTATTGGATATAATCTTCTTGTATTAGCTATAATCCTTTTTAAATTTTAGACAAAAAGGGGGAAATGTCGTGGTATTGTGTTCCCCAAAATATTGTGCACCCTAATCAACTTATCTGGGGTCAAAGACAGAACAGCCACAATATTAAACATGAGGATAGGCAGTGGTAGCACACGCCTTTAATCCTATCATTCCAGAGGCAGAAATCCATCTGTTCAAGGATACAGCCAAGCATGGTGACTCACGATTTTAATCCCAGAGAGTGATAGCTGAAAGCAGAAAGGCATATAAGGCGTGAAGGCTAGAAACTAGAAGCATTTGATTGGTTAAACATTCAGGCTTTTGAGCAGCAATTCAGCTGAGATCCATTCTGGATGAGGACTCAGAGGCCTCCAGTCTGAGGAAACAAGACCAGCTGAGGATCTGGCAAGGTGAGGTAGCTGTGGCTTGTTCTGGTTCTCTGATCTTCTAGTTCACCCCAGTACCTGGCTCAGGTTTGATTTTATTAATAAGAACTTTTAAGATTCCTGCTACAATATAGTGTGCATTGTCCAATATGGATGGACTGTCCAGCATTTGATAGTCCTGAGATGGGCAGTATAAATTATAATGGATTAGCCAGTATGGGTAGTCATAAAATGGACAATACGGATCTAGTATTCTCGAGGAGGGGAGGGTGCCCTTTAGTGGATATTTGTTCAACTTTAGAGATATATTTTATTATCACAACTTGGGGGTTCATTAGCATCCAGTGGTTAGAGGTCAAGTTGCTAAGTACCACACAATACACAACATAGCCACCCCTGCCCCAACAAAGAACTACCTGTCTTAAAAATCAATGATGTCACCCTTAAGAAACCCTAGTGTAGATCATCTTGGATGGAAGTATAGCCAGACCCAGCCTGGAAAATGTCAAACATCCTGAACACGGCAATAAAGGCAGTCTGGGTCCACAAACAGGGTAGACAAGTGGTTCTCACCTTCCTAACACTGTGACCCTTTAATACAATTCTTTTTGTTGTGGTGACCCCCAACCATCAAATTATTTCGTTGCTACTTCATAACTGTAACTTACTACTGTTATGAATCATAATGTAAATGTCAGATATGCAAGATATCTGATAAGCGATCCCAAGGGGGTCATGACCCACAAGTTGAGAATCACTGCTCTCTAACAGAGTAAAGATGGAACAGAGCCAGGTAGCATGGCACAGGGCTGTGACCTCAGTAAGCCAAGAGACAGAAGTAGGAAGGTGATGAGTTTTAGGCCATCCTGGGCTACATGCGAAGGTAAAAATGTCCAGCAGACAGTGTGGCTGTATCTTCCTTCTCATTGCATCCTCTGTGCCTCATGATGACAGATATGATGACAATAAATACCTGAGTGACTCAATCAATCAACCAATGTGATGACACTGTGGAGCCTCTGGATTCTTCCCTAGCCCCAGGAGTCATGGGAGTCTTTGCCTCTTTCTCCTGAATACATACGAATTCAAAGCTCCTACCTTCTTACAAAAAAAAATAATAATAATCAATTAAGTGAAGGAAGACTGAAGAGGAAGCCACCTCACAGAGGGGAACTTCCTCATTGGCTGCCATCTCCCTTCCAATTCTTCAGCAGGATTATGTTACTCAGAGACCAGAAGCGAGAAGCCTGGGATCCATCTTCCCCAAACAGTGTGCTTCCCTCCTGTGCAGAGGGAAGAAATGGTGGCAGAGACTGGCATCTCCAGCACAGAGCAGTAAGTCCTTGAGGGCCACAGGAAGAGCAGGGCATGATGAGGGCCTCAGTGAAGAGCACACAAATGCCACCTGTGGCAGGGACTCCAGCCCTGAAACCAGAGCTCATGGTCCAGGCCACATAGCATTGAGTAAATATGTGCACCCTCCCAGACTCATATCCTGGTCTCCAGAGGGGGCTACTCTAGCCTAGTGGACGCCTTCAGAGGACCTGGTAGGAGGTCCAGGAACGCAGAGAGGAGGATAGAGTAAAGCACAGGAAAGCAGAACCAGCAACGCCTGTTGTGCTTGGGGCAGTGTCTGGCTCTGGGGGCTACAGCTTCCTCCTAAAAGGAGGGGGAAATGTACTATCCTCAAGCTGAGCTCTCTCCTCTGTGGGATGTGTGCTCAGTGAGGTGGGCATTGGAAGGTCCAAGGTGGCGGGGGGCACTTATACAAGAGCAGCCTGTCTGAGTAGACATGGGCTCCTGTGGACTTGGTAGGGGCCTGGCCTATACCTATTCACACATGCCACAAGGAGTTTTCTCACATTCCATTCCTGCAGCATGGCACTGCTCTGCCCTACCCCAAGGTGAGCAAATCAACAAGAAGGCCTGATGTGAGATATTTGTACACTGTCAGGATGCATTGCTATGATTAGTATAATAAAAAGCTGAGTAGCCAATATCTAGGCAGAAGAGATAGGCAGAACTTCTGGGCAGAGAGAGAATGCTGGGAAGAAGAAGCCAGACGTTGAGGAAGCAGGATGGGCAGAACAGAGCAAAAGTAACCGAGCCATGTAAAAGAATGTAGACTAAAAGATATGGGTTAATTTAAGTCTTAAGAACTAGCTAGAAACAAGCCTAAGCTAAGGCCGAGCTGTCATAATTAATAATAAGCTTCCGTGTCATTTTTCATGAGCTGACAGCCCAAAGAAAAATCCATCTATAAAGGTCATTTTATATTGTAACTCCAGGAGAGCCGGAGGCAACATATTGGTGAGCAGCAGCTCCATGTGGTGAGGGCTCTGACTGATTCTCAGTTACTGCATCCTGAAGATAGAGTGTGAAGGGTTTCTAACTACAAACATATACATATATCATATACACATAATACATTCACACATGCACACACCTCCACCTTCACAATCAGTCCCCAGAGGGAGACCAAAGTGAGGTCTCAAGGAAGGTGGAGAGGTTGGAGAGGTGGTTCAGACTGTAAAGTGCTTGCCATCTAAGCTTAGGGACCTGAGTTCAATCCCCAATACACATGTAAAAAGCTAGCTGCAGTGGCACGCGACTGTAACACAGTGCTGGCAGCACAGAGGCAAGAAGGGAGGCTCATGGGACTCACTGACCAGCCAGCCTAACCTAATTGGCAAACCCTAGGTCCCAGTGAGAGACTTTATCTCAAAAAAGGTGGATGGCATCTGAGGAATGACACCTTAGGTTGACCTGTTGCCCATACACACACACACACACACACACACACACACACACACACACACACAGGAAGGTGGGAAACAGAAGTGAGCAGAAAGCTGAAAGGTAATAGGACAGGGAAGGCTCACATCTATCAGAAGACACAAATCCAGTCCCCTCACCCTACTACATCGCCTAGAGACTCCTAAGCAGCCAGAGAGGTTAACCCAGTGACAGATGTGAATCATTTACGGTTCCCCTGAGACGGGGATGGAAAAAAAAAATGATTCTCTGCCATTTGCTCCCCTCTAGAACACAAAGAACATACTACATGGACACTTAGTACATGTCCCCTGTGTGGCTTTACCCAGATTCCAGGTGCTCTTCTGGGCCAGATCCAGAGACTGTGGAGCCTTGCACCCCATCCCTTCCCATTGACACCCAACTCTGCACTTTCCTGACCTGCTGGGTCTCCTGTTGCTTTTGCAATATGGACCAATGACCTGCTGTGCCAGATGCCCACATCATGAGATCCTGCATCATCTTCATGATAGCACTGAAGCTGAGAGCAAAATCACTCCTGCTTGTCAGACTGGGACCCCTCAGTTCACCTGTCCAAGCAGCTGATGTGGCTGGAAGAACCTGGTCCTGCATCCTCCTTGCCATTACCACCTGTTTCCTTTCTGTTACAGCATTTCAGGGACCATGCCAGAAGCACGGTAAGACAGAAAAGGCACAGGCATTGGCAGCAGACATACCAGGGTTTGAACCCTGGCTCTGCCACTGACTAGGCTACATGATCTAGATAAATGGCTTTGTCTCCTCATCTGGCTGGAACTCAATAGTCATAACTGCAAATCAGGGGCATTGTTACTCAGGCCTGCTGAAGTTTCTGGCTGGAATATCTCCCAAAGGCCCTGTACTGAAGGCTTGGTCCCCATGATGGTGCAGTTGAAAGGTAAAGGGCCTTCAAGAAGTGGGGGACAGAGTGGGAGAGTAATGAAAGAGATATGAGAGATATCATGGGGATAGAGAGACACCTGATGCTAAGGAAATTCCCAGGAATCCACAAGGATGACCCTAGGTTAGACTACTAGCAATGGTGGAGAAGGTGCCTGAACTGGCCTAACCCGGTAACCAGATCAGTGAACACCCTTACTGTCATCATAGAGCCTTCATCTAGTAACTAATGGAAGCAGATGCAGAGATCCAGAGCCAAGCATCAGGCCAAGCTCCAGGATTCCAGTGCAAGAGAGGAAAGAGGGATTATATGTGTGTGTGTAGGGGGGGGGGAGTGTCAAGATCATGATGGGGAAATCTACAGAGACTACTGAACCAAGCTCATAGGAACTCACGAACTTTAGACCAACAGCTGTGGAACCTGCATGGGACCAGACTAGGCCCTCTGCATATGGGAGACAGTTGTGTGGCTTGGTTTGTTTGAGGGCCCCTGGTAGTGGAATCAAGATCTATCCCTGGTGCATGAACTGGCTTTCTGCAGCCCATTTATTACCTATTGAGGGACACCTTGCTCACCTTTGAGGCAGTGGGGAAAGGCTTGGGCCTGCCTCAACTGAATGTACCAGGCTTTGCTGACTCCCCATGGGAGGCCTTACCCATCTGGAGGAGAGGATGGGGGGGAGGGTGGGTGGGGGAGGGGGAGGCTGGGAGGGAGCAGGAGGAGAGATGATAGGGGGATCTGTGGTTGGTATGTACAATGAATAAAAAAAAATAAATAATTAAAGAAGAAGTAGGGTTTCGTGAGAGGTCTTCAGGTCATTGAGGATGAGTGGGTCTCTGAAGGAGACTGCTCAATTCATCCCCACCCCACCCCCACCCCCATTCTCTTTTTGTTTCCTGGATGATGAGGTAAGTGCGTCTACTTTGCCACATGTTCCTACCATGATGGGCTGCCTCACTATGGGACCAAAGCAATTGGCCCAATCAATCATGGGCTGGACCCTCCAAAACCGTGAGTCTAAGGAAGTCTTTGCCCTTTTTAAGTTGATTATGCTATGGTATTTTTTTTTAAGGTGATGGGTAACTGACTAACACGAGCCCAAGTAGTAACCAAAAGGAGACAATCTCATGTGTTGCAGCTTCTTGCACCAGGTCACGATACATTCCAGAGAAGACCAGGGACCCAGAGATGTCACACAATGTGTACAAGGTCCCACAGCAGCAGGCAGGCATGGGAGCTGGGCTTCACGCTCAGGTCTCCAGACTCCATGTTCGGGGATGTTTATTCCTCCCTACCTCTTTTTCAAACTTGGTTGCAGAATAAAGCAGGTTGAGCAGCTGACAACCGAAGCGTGACAGAGACCAACAGACAAGGGAACTTGAACTTGTTTGTAAAACATCCAACCCCACCCCTACCACCTCCCCACCCTGCTGCTCAGCTCAGGAAAGGAGGACAGGGCTCAGCAAACACAGCTTTCTGGCATCCCCCGAGGCTGCTGGCCATGAGCACAAGCAAAACACTGCCAGGGGACTGGGGGAATCTCATCCAACTGAGCATTTAGCAAATGCCCATTGCTGCCCTCCAGTGTCCCTATTAAGGTCAGCCTCTCCCAGGCTGGCATCCATGATCCAACAGGAAAAAGAAAAGACTTGTGGGGAACAAAGAAAGAGCCACCAAAGCTTTAACTTTATTATTATTTTTTTACACTAAATTGTATTGTACCAGATCTTTTTCTTTTTTTCTTTTTTTTTTTTTCTTTTTCTTTTTGGTGTGCGGTGAAGCCATCCAGTGCTGTCCTCTAGTGGTGGATTCTATATCGCAGCCATCTATCACATGGCAATTTGAATTTAAATGTTAAATAATTAAAATGAAACTAAAGTTGGTCTCATATTCCAAGCACTCTGTGGCCACAGGTGGATAATAGCCACCATATTGGCCATCGCAACTAGAGACTGTTTCTTTGAAACACTTAAGTGTGGAGAGTAGTTTTCTCAAGATCAACACAACTAAAAGTAAAATCAAGTACAACTTACATTTGAACCCATGCATGGTCAACAGGCATTCCTGGTCCATTTCAAGTTCTTTATCACCCTACAGCATTGAGTGAGCCCCCAGATCCTGTCCCTTCCAAACATAGCCTAAGGCAGGAGCTAAGGTGTCTGTTGCCGCCGCCGCCACCGCCACCACCGCCGCCGCCGCCGCGACACAGACACACAGACACACAGACACACACACACACACACACACACACACACACACACACACACACACACACACACACACACACACCATAGCCAAAAGCAGAATAAACATG